ACATTCAGCAAACTTACTATCTATTAGATTTGGGAGGAATTGATGTTGTGCTGGGAATGGAGTGGCTGACAGAATTGGGGGACATTGAAGTGAACTTTAAGCATCAAATCATAAAGTGGAGGCAACATGGTGAAAATTGTATTATCAAGGGAGATACTAATTCCAATCAGATGGAGGTTTCTATGAAAACTATGGCCCACATACTACATCAAGTTGGTGATGGTTATTTGTTATACTATGAAGGACAATTGGAAAGTCAGCAACAGAAGGAAGACCTGAGTGGAAATTGGGAGGAATTGACAGCAGAATTCCCAGAAGTTTTCACATCCACACGGAAATTCCCACCTGCAAGAGAGTGTGACCATGCCATTAATATCAAAGAAGGAACATATATTCCAAATCTCAGACTATACAGGTACTCATTTGATAAAAAAAATGAAATTGAGCAGATTATTGCAGAAATGTTGAAATCTGGGATCATTAAACACAACAATAGCCCTTATAGTAGCCCCATTCTATTGGCTAGAAAGAAAGACGGGGGCTGGAGATTCTGTGGAGATTATAGGGCTTTAAATAAGGTTACCATACCTGATAAGTTTCCAATCCCAGTGATAAAAGAACTTCTTGATGAGTTAGGTGGTGCCAGAATTTTTCTAAATTAGATCTCAAAGCCGGATATCACCAGCTCAGGATGAAGGCCAGTGATACCCACAAAACAGCTTTCAGGACCCACGAGGGTCACTATGAGTATTTAGTTATGCCGTTTGGCTTGACTAATGCTCCCTCAACCTTCCAGTCACTTATGAATGAAGTGTTAAGGCCATTCCTTAGAAAATTTGCACTGGTGTTCTTTGCTGACATTTTAGTTTACAATAAAACTAAGGAAGAACATAAAGAACACTTAAGAATGGTACTGGGAGCTTTGCAGAAGAATCAGTTGGTTGCTAACCTAAAAAAGTGCTCTTTTGGCCAAAGACAGTTGAGTTATCTGGGGCATATCATTTCAGAAGTAGGTGTGGCAGCTGATCCTGAAAAGATTTTGGCTATGAAGAATTGGAATATCCCTAAAGATCTCAAGGACCTAAGGGGATTCCTAGGTCTAACCGGGTACTACGGGAGGTTTGTTAAGGGATACAACAAGATTGCTGCACCTCTCACCTTTTTAGTCAAGAAAGATGGGTTTAAATGGAATGATCTGGCTACTAAAGCTTTCAATGACCTGAAGGAGGCCATGACTTCATTACCTGTATTAAGAGTGCATGATTTCACTAAACTCTTTGTGATAGAGACAGATGCATCTGGAAAAGGTCTGGGGGCTGTGCTAATGCAGGATGGGGGTCCCATTGCATACATGAGTAAAGAGTTGTCACTTAGACATTTGACTAAATCTATCTATGAGAAGGAGCTCATGGCAATTGTGTTTGCCATTCAGAAGTGGAGACCTTACCTTCTTGGGAGGAACTTTGAGGTTCATACTGACCAAAAAAGTTTGAAGCATTTGACTGAGCAGAAGGTGATGGGGGAAGGCCAACAAAAATGGATAGCAAAACTCATGGAGTACAACTTTACCATCAGATATAAACCAGGTATTGAAAACAAAGCGGCAGATGCACTGTCCAGAAAATCTACTTATACAGCTCTTTTCAGTCACTTGCCAAGAATGGGATGGTTTGGGAGAAGAACTAGAAAAGGATTCTAAATGGGGGGAAGTTATTCAGAAGATGGTGATACAGCCTGACCTGTGCATGGACTACAAGATGAAGGGAGGGCTTCTATACTATAAAGGGAGGTTTGTACTACCAAAAGGGTCCCACAGAATACAATCTATTCTGAAAGAATACCATGATTCTGCAGTAGGGGGCCACTCAGAATTTTTCAGAACTATGAAGAGGATCTCAAATCTGTTCTTTTGGGTAGGAATGAGATCAGACATAAAGGATTATATTCAAGGGTGTGAAGTTTGTCAAAGGAATAAGTATCAAGCTTTAAAGCCTGCAGGTTTGTTACATCCTTTACCAATACTAGAACATGTTTGGACGGATATTAGTATGGACTTCATTGGTGGTTTACCAAAATCCCAAGGAAAAGACACTATTTTAGTGGTGGTTGACAGATTGACAAAGTTCTCACATTTTATACCCTTGGCACATCCTTTCAATGCCAAAAGACTGGCTGAAATCTTTGTTCAGGAGGTAGTCATGATACATGGATTTCCAAAATCCATGGTCAGTGATAGAGACAGTCTTTTCTTGAGCTCATTTTGGTCAGAATTGTTCAGATTGGCTGGGACCAAGCTCAAATATAGCACTGCATATCACCCTCAAAGTGATGGACAAACTGAAGTGGTCAATAGATGCTTAGAAACCTATTTGAAGTGCTTAAGTGGTACAAAACCTAGACAATGGGTTAAATGGCTTCCTTGGGCTGAATATCGGTTCAATCCTAACTATCACAACTCTTTGAGAAGTACTCCTTATCAAGCTTTGTTTGGACAACCACCCCCGACACTCATCAGAGATGATGTCAGTCTGACTTCAGTGGATGAAGTAGCCAAAATGACAGCTGAGAGGAATTGGATGTTGACTGAATTGAAGGAGAATTTGGCCAGAGCACAGAACATGATGAAGCAACAAGCGGATAAACACAGGAGGGAAGAAGAACTTGAAGTGGGAGACAAAGTTTTTCTAAAGATACAACCCTACGAGATGAGAAGTTTGGCTAAAAGGATCAATCAAAAGCTCAGTCCCAAGATTTTATGGCCCTTATAAAATTACAGAAAAACTAAGTCATGTAGCTTTCAGATTAAAGTTGCCAGAAGGAAGTAGAATACACCCTGTATTCCACATCTCCTTGCTGAAAAAAGTGCTGAAACCCAAGTGACTTATCAAAGCATTCCCGATTGCCTCACAGAAGGATGAATCAGGAAGGGAACAAGGAGGTCCTAGTGCATTGGAAGGATCTTCCTGACTTTGAAGACTCATGGGAGGATATTCAAATGATCCAAGAGCAGTTCCCTGACTTTCAACTTGAGGACAAGTTGGTTCTGCAAGAAGGGGGTATTGATAAGGATCCGGCTAGTCTAAGCAATCAAAATAAATACTATGGGCGAGTTTATTCTAGAAGACCTAAATAGACTAACGAGTTATTAGTTAGAGGTTATTAGTAACTAATAACTACCTTCTGTTTTAGAAGGTTATAAATAGAATAATGCTGCTGTGGGAATGCAGGTTGTTTTTAGACATTTTGTCTGGGACTGGGAAGTTGGAGTTCTATCTCCTTGTTTGGGACAATTGTGTACGGTTTACCTCCTTTGAATGAGATTCAATTTTCTTTTTCTTTGTTCTTAATCTTCTGTGATAAATTCTGTAATTGCGAAGGTTCTATCAGTTTTGGGACATCCCAAAAAGGTAAGTGGGAAGAATTTTATGGGATGAGGAGAACAAGGGTATCAGACCGAGTCGAAGCAAGACTGAGTACAAGGAGTGCAAGTTTGGTTGAGGTAAAAGCACTGATAATATCATAATTACTCTATATGATAAGGAAATACTAGTCTGTGATATGTTTCATTACTTGGGCTTCATAATCCAGAAGGACGGTGAATTAGATGGAGATGTATCCCATAGAATTAAAACAAAGTGGATGAAATGGAACAGTGCGTCAGGATTTCTATGCGATCGAGGTATGTCGACTAGTTGAAGGGTTTTATAGGACAACAATTAGGCCTGCGTTACGGTATGGTGTGGAGTGTTCGGTAGTGAAACAATGTCACATTCAAAAGATGAGTGTGACAGAGATGCGCATGCTACGTTGGATTTGTGGACATACTAGATCAGAGGAATGAGAGAATCAGACAAAAAGTGGGAGTAACACATATTAAGGATAAGATGCGGGAGTCACGCTGGCGGTGGTTTGGTCATCTGTATAGAATACCAAGTGATGCACCTGTCAGACGAGTTGAGAGGTGTGGAGAAGAGGCAGAGAAGAGCGGGAGAGGAAGACCCAAACAGACGTGGATTGGAGGAGTCAGAAGTAGTATGTTTCTCTTGGATTGGATTGAGGGTATGACAAAGGGGAGGATGCGTATTCGTGTGACAGAGTGATCTCTTATCATCTATCTCCCCTTATCTTCTTTTTCTTTATTGTTTTCTTTTTGTTTTTTATCCTTTTATCTTTACACACACACACATAGAGTAGTGTTCCGGTCAGGCCTTCCTGACCGGAACCGCCGTCCGGCCGACGACTTTTGGGGCCTTTCCCGGTGACTTTTTTTGATCAAATTTTATGGCATGTTCTTCATCAAGTCTAGTTTATCCACAAAAAATTCAGCTAAAAACTTAATCCGGGAGGTCGTCAAATGATTTTGTGAAGTTAACTGCGCTACAAAATACCTATAAAACGCAGTTATCTTCCAAAAATAATTTGACGACCTTCCGGATTGAGTTTTTAGCTGAATTTTTGTGTGGATAAACTAGACTTGATGAAGAACATGCCATAAAAATTTCATCAAAAAAAGCCACCGGGAAGGGCCCTAAAGCCGTCGGCCAAACGGCGGTTCTGGTCTGAAATTCCGGACCTGAACTTTTGTCTATATATATATATATATTATTTTCATGCTTTTTATTCTCTCATTTTAATGTATATCCTATTTCTTTGGATATTATCTTTTTGATCATATCTTATCTTTTTATCTTTGTTTTCCTTTTGATTCCAATATCATGTATCGATTCATGTTAGCTGAGCCCAAAATCTTTTGGGAGTAAGGCTTGAATGTTGTTGTTGGAGTATATCAAAAACCACAACTTTTTAGTCTTTAAAAATGCCTTTCTCGGGTTCTCCTATTCATGTTAGCCCCCACATTCCTCCTCCCAGTTAAAAGAAAAAGAGGAAAAGGAATATGAGAAATCAGTTCTGCAAAAGCTGACATGCATTCTTATCTTTATTTTGCAATTAATATTGGAAATCTCCTCTGATTTTGCTATTACTGGATCATTGAGAATCAGGTTTACCTACAAGATCAAGGTAATGAAATGTCGAGAAAACTGATGGGCTTGCTTGGATCATTTAGACAAGGTGACCCATCATATTATCAAATATGTCACCTAGTAAGACAAGGTGAACAGCCCAGGGAAGGATTCTTCCTACTAAGAAATCTAGTCGAGGACCAGTTTGGTGGTACAAATGGCTATATGGATTGGATTGTGCAATTACACCGGCAAATCCAGCAGAATGCGTAGCACAGGTAATGGTCAAAAGTAATTTGTTATAGTTAGTCAAATCACACAAATCAACTTGCTTCCGATATGCCTATCCTATTTGAGTGGACTATTCATCTGTTTTCTTACTCTTATTGTATTAATAACAAAGCACATATGTTCTGATACCTTTTTGATTGCTTTTGCTGATCTTTTTATTATAACGCGGGTGTCCTGGACCTTTGACCCTAATAATTCTGCAGGCCCTGTAGTCAATGAACGGGTAAACCTCCAGTGGCCTTACGAGGGATTCAAACTTGTGACAGAACTTTTTATTCCTGGGTTCAAACTAGTTGAACAACCCCCGAGAAGGTTATCTTTGCTTAGTATTAGTATTACTTAGGGGAAGGGGTCAGCAGGTGTTTTAAATGACGATTGCCTTCGATTAATTATTTTTTCCAACAGTATATCTGTCATGGACAACATTTGCACATGGTATATTACCATTTGTTCCCAACATGAGTTAATTGTAATTTTCTATAGTGGTATTGAATATTTCCCCCCCCAGACCACTTTCTTTAGCCTGTTGCTACGTGCACCTATGTGCAAATTATTGGGCCATTGAAGTAAATTTAATGGTATTTACTTCGGTGTACCAAGGTTACTCCCCTCCCCTCTCAGTCCTCAGGTTATGAAAATACCTTTGTTCCTAAATTGTTAAATGACTCAAGATTTAACTCAATAATGTAATAGATAAAAACCTCTTGTGGATACTACAATTATTGCTGATCTGTGTTCAAATTTTTTATCAGGGCATTTCTTGGCAAAACTTTTAGCTATCCTTCCCATTTGCAACAGAAAACAAGAAATTGGAGCTGTATTTTGGAAAGGCCAGGTTTTGTACTTGAATCTGAATTTTGGCGAGACAGAAAACAAGAAATTCCTTCTGTTTGTTGACAGTTAGTTTCTCAGTTTTGTGAAAATGGAGCTTTACTTGGTCAGGTGCTTTGAGTCGGAAAGATTTGAATTTAAATAACCTTGGTAATTGAAATGTGAAAACAAAAAATAGACTGGAAAGTGGGCGATGATCCCATTGACTTGATCCGGATTCTGGTGATTTTTATCAACTCTTTTTTTGCTGAATAACAACTCAAGCATTAATTAAATCATTACTGAGTACATTAACAAGACAACTAGGAGGATTAAACTATCAAATGTGGCGATCACAAAGAATCTGCTACTCTTGGTTACATGACTACATGAGTAGCCTTGTTGCATAACGCGCCTATGATAAGAGAGATAGTAGTTGTGAATTCTGTGCCAGTATTTCAATTAACTCTGCTTCTTACACCTCCCGTCCATGGCATTGCCCCCCTGCAACAAACTCCCCACTCTCATTCTGAAGAACCCACCTGAATCCGCAGCCAGAAGGAACAATTGCATCTATATTAAACTTTATCTTACCTGCCATCAGATGTTGGCAGAAGGAAGAACTGGTCAACACGCCACCTTCTGATCTGCTCCTTGCGTGCTGGGCATAGGGCCACCCATCAATATAAGTCCTCGCCCGCTACACGGTTTGACTTGCCACACACGCCAGTTTCTTTCGCACCAAAACCCTCCGTAGCCCCATATTGCATACTCCACCGGGTGTTTGGACTTAAGGTGTCTTGTGGCGGATCCGTATCCGCCGGAAATCCCCAAGCTATAGTTTTTCTTGCACCAATTGCAAGTTGCGGTCCAATTCCCGGTGTTCGGGTCCTTCCACTTAGAAAAATTATTAGTCATTAATTCAGATTTACTTTTTTTTGTACCTGTTTGGGATGAGGCTGCTTGGTCGGCGTCATGGCTGCCGCCACCCTCCTCCTCCTCGTCGTCGTGGCTCTCCGGAATTGCTTCCTCCACATCGTCGTCCTCGTCCTCGAGCTCTTCTTCGTCAATGGTTCTCGGTTGGTCTTGAAAAAAGCGGGAATTATGTCGGTGCAATTCTTGTTCTAGTTGTTCGTCGGTCATCGCATCCCCATCCCTCCTTACGTAACCCGTATCAAAATCATCTTGACTTTGAGATGAAGAGCCGAGATGTGATTTACCTTTGCGGGATCTCTTCCTCGCAAGCTCGTTCGTTCGGTTGCGTTCGAGGTTACCCATATCAATCGAATATCTAGGACGATCCATCTAAAAAATGTAGCAATTAATAAAAATTTGTAAAAAACTAATTAACTATTTATCTAACTATTAATTCGAGTTATAGCAAATTAAGTAGTGAATTAACTAGTTTTGTGTACAACATATTTTTTAAACTAGAGTCAAATGTAGCAATTAATAAAAAATTGTAAAAAACTAATTAACTATTTATCTAACTATTAATTCGAGTTATAGCAAATTAAGTAGTGAATTAACTAGTTTTGTGTACAACATATTTTTTAAACTAGAGTCAAATGTAGCAATTATTAAAAAATTGTAAAAAACTAATTAACTATTTATCTAACTATTAATTCGAGTTATAGCAAATTAAGTAGTGAATTAACTAGTTTTGTGTACAACATATTTTTTAAACTAATTAAACAAGTGTAAATAATAGAATAATTTCGTACCTCTTTCGGACTTTCGGTCTTTCGGATGGAAGTAATAGAATGACTTCAAATTAATTAGATATAATTCCAACTATATTAATAGATATAATAAATATATAAATAATATATAATTAGATAACAAATATAAGTAATATAATACTATTTATATCTATTTATAGTTTATATAAGTAGATAATTAATATAAACTATAAATAATAAATATAATATATTGGAGAATGGAGAATAAGAGAATTAGAGAGTAGAGAGTTAAGAATAGGATTTAGGAAGAATTGGAGAAGAGATATGAAAAAATGTTTAAGATTAGGAGTATTTATAGGTTTTTTTACCCCCCACCCTCCCACCCCACCCCCCGCCACCCAACCCCCCCGGACCCCCCCTTTACCCCACCCAACGGCTATATAGCCGTTTGGGTTGTCCCTAGCCCCACCCCCAACGGCTAGTAGGAGCTCAAATTAATTTTTTTTTTTTAAATTGAACCGGACCCGGGCCCGGGCCCGACCCGGCCGGGCCGGGTCACAAAAATGCTGAACCGAGCCCGCCCCGCCCCTTCCCCCCGGTTCGGGCCCAGACCCGGTCCCGGACCGCCCGACCGGGCCGGTCCCGGGCCCGCACAGTACCGGGCCGGGCCGGGTCACGGGCCGGGTGGCCCGAACCGAATCCAACCCTAATTAGGACTCATTTTATTGCCTTTTATAAATAGACATATTTATATGATACTTAATTGAGTACATCACTTCATGTGACGATTTCATAATAGTAGATTATCTCATTTGACTCTTTTCTCTACAAGTATATACCATCATCTGTACAATACAAGTATATACCATTTGTATAAGATCACCATAACTCATAAAATCAAAATGAAATCTTTAATGAAATAAAACACAAGTAAGCTAATATATATTTCATGTGTAACTTAATCTTTGACCCTCACAGAGTTCAATTTTTCGATGACTTTAAGGAAATATCCTTTCACTTTATTTTCAGAAATACATTTTTATTGAGTACTATTGTGGAATACACTACTTGACGTTGTGCAATTGTTATTACTCGAGGATAATAGAATTAATTGAAAATTTTCTTTACCAAATAACCAATAATAATGACTTAATTTAAGAATATCTAACAAATGAATACACAGAGTGACTTAATTTAAGAACTTTTTTTATAGTTGTGAGTGATTTGGCTTTTTTGGAGATCTAAGTTTGAATGGATGATTAAAGAAATTTTTCGAAGTATTAAGGAAAAAGATGGAACGATGGTGCTCATTTTTTATATGAGAACGTGAATAAAAGCTCTATTTAATTGTTTTTTTAAAAGCTCTTATTAATTTACGAATTTACAAAATTAGACCGTAGAAACTAGAAACCACATGAGATATATGTGTATTTAATGCTTCTATATTCTCAAACTAGCTTTCAAACTAGTGCAATGCACATGCAGTATGTAATTTAGCTAATATGAAATTTAATTTCTATCGGATCACATATAATGTGATTTAAAAGAAAAATAAACTTAGTCTAATATAGAGTCTGTTTGATAATACTAAAGTAAATAGAATTAACTTATTTTGCTGAAATTGATTGAATTCTGGTTAAATAGGTGGAATCTTCTGAATCATGAAAAATATATGTGAAATATATTCCATTTGTGAAACAAAGAAAAAATATATGAAAAAAAGTTAAATTGGTCTTCTATATAAGCATCTCAAGTAAACATAATTGTTATGAACCCAATAATAAAAAAAATCTATATTTCTTAATTGTTAGATCTTACAGTTTACTCATTAATAAGAACGTTTTTAATTGAATTAAAATTTCGGGTTTGATTTGGTATGAATTAATATAGTCTATTAGATGTCTGTTTTTTATGTGACTTATTGTTATAATTATTAAAGTTTGATATGATATGATTTAATCTGGAACTGAAATCAATCCAATTAAAAACATTCTATTAAAATAAAAGTAGGAATCCGTAAACCTATAAAGATTTTCTAAAATAAAGAAACAACAAAAAAAATTTACTTATTTGGCTAAGTTAAACATATTTACTTGTGAAAATATATATACTTTATGTTGGTTATAATTTTTAATTTCATTTTTAATTATTTACTTATTTGAAGCTTACTAATTTATTAATAGGTGTCAAATTAATTTGCATATTTGTTTCTATTTAATTCGGTGTAGTAAACTAATATAAATTAGTTTCCATATCAATAAACGTTATTAGAATTTCACTTTGATAACCAAAAATTATTTTACTTATTTGAAGCTTACCAAATTAATTAAGGTGGATTTATAAGGATTTTTGTTTCCATATCAATATGCAATCAAAAATAGAATCTAATAAAAACTAAATGTATAAAAATAAGTAAATAATTTTTATATATAATGATTACATGCCAGGATTGTGTGACGCTTTGTATGCTCTTAAAAAGTTCCTCTTATATATATATATATATATATATATATATATATATATATATATATATATATATATATATATATATATATATATATATTGATTAAGATTTATGTTCTTTTAATGAAAAATCAGTTAAACCTTTTTAGCTTTGCATGTTTTTAGAGTGTCTTTACTGGGAACACCAATTTATGATTTATTTATTGTTTTTGAGGAGATTGAAATAAAACTACTGGAAATTTATTTTTGTTGTTGAGGTAATGGCCATCCTGTACTTTTACTATAGTCGACCTCAGCCCAAAGTACAAAAAAAATAAAAAATTGTGTGATTGAGTTTCGCGTATAGGAGATAAGAATGATAGGAACCACAAATCGATTGATTAAAAGGGAGTGACATGTTTTTGGACAATAAAAAGAAGAATGAGACAAAATTTTAAGGGATGGAGAAAGTATTATTTTGTCACTAAAGTGCTTGAGCCAATTTGAGACTATCCTTTTAATTTCGGTGGCATCTATAAAACGAAATGAATCTAGAATGCAATGTAGGGTGGATGTCCAATACAGCGACACCACTTTGATGATGCTAGAGAAAGCAATGGTCGAAGATAGGAAAAGCATTGGATGCCATGCCATTACTATAACATCACTCCAAATCAAAGAAATTCTAACCAACACAAGTTAAAGGAACTACCTTTATTTTTATTTTCCTGTCCTTTTTACTTCTCCATTCAAGAATGGCAATGGACCATCACTTAACTTCAAACAAGATAGCAGAGTACAGAGAAGCTTTCAGCCTATTTGACAAAGATGGAGATGGTAAGCTGGTTACATGTTCATCAATACTAGTCACTCGCATCATTAGGCTGAGGGCCGTCTAATAAATTTGAAACGCTCCATTCTAAATACTATATTGAGACCCCACATTATATTTTTGAAAAAAATATGAGCAACTTATATTAATTAATCATATTGTTGGCCACCGACTTACAGCAAAATTAGGAATCGAATCATAAACACAACTAAGATTTGAGAGGAACACACGCGTCCGAGCTATCGCATGGGCTGCACGATTCACATATCGCTTACAAAAAGAGATACTAAAGTTACTCTTTGTCTGAACAAAATGACTTATGGAGTTGTTTTTGCTAATTAAAAGAGCATTAGTCATGAGTTGAACACCGTGAATTGCTTAGTGATGACTAGTGATGGATTTGATTATATTTTGCTTTCAACTTTTCATTATAATTGTAGTAATAAGTTTGGAAAATTCCCCATTGATCTAGTAATTTATTACATGGAATGTGCAGGCCAAATTACTAAACATGAGCTGGGAATAGTATTAAGATCATTGGGACAAAAGGTAACAGAAGCAGAGGTGGAAGAGATGATCTGTGGAGTGGATGTTGATGGGAGTAAGACAGTAGACTTTAAAGAGTTTGTAGGGCTAATGCGTAAGAAGTTGAAGGATAAAGAGGTGGAGGCAGAGCTAAAAGCGGCGTTCCAGATTTTCGATAAGGACCACAATGGGCTCATCTCCGCCGCAGAGCTCCGCCACATCATGACGAATTTAGGTCAGAAGTTGAGTGAGAAAGAGGTGGATGAGATGATGAAGGAGGCCGACGTTGATAACAATGGCGGGATTGATTACCAAGAGTTTGTCAAGGTCATCATTTCCAAGTAAGATCATCATATCTTAGTTAGCCATTTTTTCACAAAAGGTTTGCATGCTATACTCTTATAATTTAGAATCTATTATGGAAAATTACAATATATGGAAGGCGAAAATTGGGACAAAGACTAATGGGATACTATGGTTACATGATATCTCATATTGATCACTAATTAAATTTCAGATTGATAAAATCAGAAATTATGGTTATACATGAATCTCACGATGATCACTAAAGTTTGTAGCCGCAAAAAGATGAGTCACTTAAAGACCAATCCACACTCATATTTCTAGCCGCAAAAAGCATCCACGATTAACTCCATCACTGTCAGAGCAACCGACCAAGGTGACACGTCCCACAAGCAACACTTCCTCCCAACCTCAGTCTGCTCATCCACCATCGTCACCTCCCACAAAGCCGCTGCAATCCAAACCCATGAAACGGAAAACTAATATGATCTTACTATACGAGAAGAGCTGAACAAAGATCCAAAGCCAAAGAATCAACCGCTCCAACCCCACGTTGACAAGGGCAATGAATAACTCACAAATTCTATGGATATGTTTGGCACAAGTAGTTGAAAAGATACTTTTGTGAGCTTTTTAATAACTGTTAGCTTTTAGTGACCGAAAAGATCTTAAAAAGAAAAGGTCGTAGCTGTTTGGTAAAAAGCTGGCTGTTTGATTTAGTTTAGTTTGGTATACAAGCTGTTAGGACTAATTAATACTAAAAGTCACGGGCTTTTTTCAGATGCTACTTCCTGTAGCTTCTCAAAAAAGATCTTTTAATTTTTGAATAGCTCTTAAAAATTGTCATGCCAAACATAAAACTAGAAGCTTGTAAATACTTTTTGAACAGTACAAAAGCTAGAAGCAGAGACTTATGCCTGCCAAACATAGTCTATGGCTATCATTGGTGATGCTTTGAATGAGGTTGTTAGTGTCTTAAATTTGATATGATGAGATTTGAGTTTAGGGAGAAAGTGGGGTCACAAAACCAAATATTAATAGTAATCAAATATTACTGTATTTCCTTTCAAAAACATAGAACTAACTTAACTACTAGATTTATATAGTCTATTCATCAATACAAATATTATTAAAGTTTTGAGAAAAAACCAGTCACTTTTCTTATAGTTTTAACACAATATTTGAGCAGGTGTTTTGAAATTTATTCAATGTTCACTTTTATATCTACAGAAGGAGATTGGGTAATGAAGAAAGCAAATACCACACCAATGATGGAAATTACAAGGGGAAGAGAATGAGGAAGCGGGATCGCCTTCGTCATGACTGTATAATCCTATAGTTTATTTTTCAAAATCCAATTTACACATCTCCAACTTCAAAATTGGTGTGACATGTGACATTTATTTATCAAATAACATTATCATGACAATCAACAAAGAAGGCGCGTACTAATATTTGTGTGCATGCATGTATGCATGGCCGGACATCTATCATACTAAATTATATGTGTACGCGTACACATATATTATTTAGTATAATATAAGGTACATACGCGTACGTACCTTTAGATTAAGTCAAGTCTTTCATATTGCATGGTAACAATATGAAAGACTCCTATAATCCTATATATATGAGTCTTTACGCGTACGTAATTAATATGATAATATCATATTATGTACGCGTACGTAATAAAAGGTAATATTATATTACAAATCCTCCTATATATAGAATAAGGATCAAATGAGAAGAGTGCTTATCGTAAGAAGTGAGAATGCATCTGGTGCGTTCATTTTAAGATCTGTGCATCAGATTAGCAAAAAAGTACACGAGAAAGTGCAAAAAATATTTAAAAAGTGGTGCTAGACGCGGTGGCATATCCGTAATTAATCGGAACTTTTCTGCCATCGCAAAAAGTGCATCAGATTAGCGAAAAAGTGCATCAGAAAGAAGCAAATGTGAAGCTTTTCACTTCTCACGTTAAGATGTCTTCTTATTAGAACCCAACCCTATATATATCTATATATATAGGAGATGCCAATGTTGTAACGAAGAAGTCGAGCCTAGCTAGAGTTGAATAAAAATAGGAAAAATTGAAAATAATAATCCCAACTATTGCCGGTCCGCTAACAATAATCTCAACTATTGATTATTTTTGTATAATCCTAACTATATGGACCGTCCGCCAATAATGGTCCATGACCGCATATTACCTGCTCTAACAAGTGAATTTTTAATAGAAATTAAGCACAAAAATTAAAATTTGTGATTATTTATATGGATTACCTGTTATATCTCTTTAGAAACTATAGGAATTTATTTATAGTCGGTCATGTCGGACCATTATTAGTGGAAGGTCCCTAAAGTTGGGATTATTCTAAAATAATCGATAGTTGGGATTATTATGAGCGGACCGCCAATAGTTGGGATTATTACAATCAATTTTTCCATAAAAATACAAAAGTCGTACAAGGAAAATTGAAGAAGATATATAAGAGAACTTGTGATTCAAATGTGTGTGTACAAGAACACGTCTATATAGAATGGAAGTCGATTGCACAAAAATTTCTTGCTTTTCAACATGTGTAGGTTTGTATATTGTAGTATTAGCTGCACCATGATGTTCAATGAACCATTTTTGCATCCTTCCACGTGACAGATTAAACCTATCAAATTTACTATGGGGTATTTATTGGGAATGCAATTTAATGAATTCATTGATTCTACATTGTTGAATGTCATGAGAGAGTACCTAGTGCGAGTATAGTGACATCGTGCCCATTTTCAACATCTATCACATACAAATTATCTCAAATAAGAGGATATACCGCATCTAATAATGCCAAGTACTTTTGAATCTGAGTATGAGTGGCAGCCCTAACAATCTGTTTAAATTTCCATGCAAGTTTTTCAAAACTAAGCAACATAGGATAGCAACTGATATGTCTATTTATGTGATCCCCATCAACTTCTTTTGGAATTAAATTTTTATTTGCACTACATTCCAAGATATCTTTTATTACTTGAGACCGCACTAAAATATCATCATTGTTACCATGCAACATGAAAGACTTGACTTAATCTAAAGGAGATGAAACAACAAAGGTGTGAGGATGCATGAAGGGATCATTTTGTTGTTGCTAAAATCCATCATTTGCAACAACATTCAAATTTCAAATCAAATATGCAGTGGGTTGAGGAGGGTAGTTGTTATATGTGGATGTGGACACAGGAAACAACTCAACACAATGCCTCAAAGTTTGAACCATACACACCAATGCATGTAAAAACCAATTCAGTAAAAGGAATATATAATGTCATATCCAAAACTATTTGGTCACAAGTTCTTTTATTACAAAAAACAAGAGAATCGTCCTAACTAACATCCAAATTTAGTATAATAAGCTAAGCATAATGACAAATCTGCGATAAAATGGCAATGAGTAAAAGTAAAAGTAGTGTAAAACAGTTTATAGAATAATCAAGGGAAAAGGATCAAATAGGCCCAAACACAATTTTGATGAATTTTTTTGAGCATCTTAATTTGAGCACAATTAAATTGGAAAGACATTCAAATGGATTCTTGAATATAACTGCGCTTTTAGCTGCACAGTTATCTTCAAGAATTCATTTGAATACCTTCCCGATTGAAGTTTTAGCTGGAATTTGGTATGAGTAAACTAGACTTAATGAATAAGATGCTCAAAACGTTTCATAAAAAAACTTCACCGGGAACCGCCCCAAATGGCGACGGATGGACAGAGCCTTCTTTATAAAGGCTTATTTGACTTTTTTATGTAAGTTCAATGGCCTATCTGACCCTTTTCCCAATAATCAACAATACAATGAGAAAAGTAAATATATAGTGATTTGTTAATTAGATTAAAAAAATCAACATATGAAACAGATTATGGAACCAAAATGCTACAACAAACAACATTATTTCTTGTGATCCAAATGTTTAATTCGTTGCTTGCGAACTCAAGATAAATATAATATATTTGATACATTTTGAAGAACATGTTGTCAACTAAGAAGAGGATAAATGCACACACATACCTTGCTTTAAGAAATGCTAATTTAAGTATCATAAAGGCATCACCATTGGTTGGTTTATTTGAATATTAATTAAATGACGTGTTAGATTATTTCAAACATTAACATTGAGGTAAAGAGATTACTTAGGTAGATTATTTAAAAAGAAAATCCAGTATCAAAATTCAAATCCCGGATTATTGTAGATTATATTTAAAACACATATAATGGATGTAATAGAAAAACTAATATATGAATATCATTGTTAATGAATAATTTCAAGTTGTTAGATTATTCATAACTTAAATCATAAAAATGATGTGACAATTGAATGTACTAGAAAAACTATTTATTTGAATATCATGAATGAAGATGCTCTAAGTAATTAGTACCAAAAGGAGTAATTCATGTTCAAGCGAGGTTCCATTATATCATAGTGACTAGTTGAGCCCTATTTTTATCGATGGGATCTTTGTTTTGAACATTTTTCTCTTAAAACAGTACTCTTATCTTGGCAGGGACGAATGCGGATGATGATAATCTTCTTTACTATGTATTGAATCTATTGACTATAGTAAAGTGTTCTCCACTTTTTGAGAATTTCACTTTACACTCCACTTTTTGGATAATATTGGACTTTGCACCCCATTTTTAAAAAACTTTGACTTTGCACTCCATTTCATTTAAAGATCCTTTCACTTTGCATCCATTGAGAAATTTTCTTCACAACATGTTATATGATGGGCTGCAAAGTTAAGGTTTTTCAAAATAGAGTGTAAAATCCAATATCATCTAAAGAGTGGAACGTAAAGTCACACCCCCCTTTATAATAAGCATGCAATTATATTTTGTGAATATATTCTCTTGTAATAGGGGCGAAGCTACGGGACGGCCAACCCTGACCCTGGCCCAACCCAAACTTTAAAAATGTCTATATTTTTAGTGTAAAAAATTTCATGTAATATGTTTTAAAAAATATTCTTTGTACCGGCCCAATCCGACCCAGTGACATGGCTCCGCACCTGTCTTGTAAGTTGTAATTATATTACTAGTACAATTCAAGAACCTCCGATTAAATAACATAATAAAAATCCCAATTATTTTATTCGATCGGTACTTCAATTCAAATATGCTATTTCATTCAACATTTAGAAATGAATCGAGAACATATGCATCACGCCGCCACCCTAGCTTATTCAATTCAACGTACTGGAAGTTAAGAAAGGATTCGATTTTGATTAAATGAATGTAAAACTAAAAGCAATAGACCACTAAGCTAGACCAGGCCGGTCATATATCTCAATGCATGTGCTTTTAAATATTCCTTTTTGAAAAAATTCCACCGATAAGTCTGATATTATTCCTTTGAAAAGTTGTCCACAAAAATATAACTTATAGTAATTTTTAGTGACTATAATTGTATTCAGTGTTATTATGATGTATTGACTATGATGTAACTTAACACAATTATGGTCACTAAAAGTTATTAAGTCACATTTTTGTTAATACAAGTAATATTTTAGAAAAAACTATGAAAAATGAATATGACAATTCATTTTCTAAATAATATTTAGAAAAAACTAAAAGTAATATTTTTGTTAATACAAGTCACATTTATTAACTCATATTTAGAAAATAAAAATATAACAATCACATTTAGGAATTTACAAACGTTTTTACTCTTATACTTGTACATGACAATTCATTTATATTTTCTCATAAAAGATTTTTTTTGCTATAAAAGTATGACAAAAAATGGCCAATGATAAGTTATATCCTTGTCATAAAAATGAAGTTGTTGAGGTTTAGTCCCGCAAATTCGAAAGCTCAACACCCGCTTTGGATATTAAGGACGTGAAAAATGGGTCGAGGATAAAGGAAAATATAAAAGCTGAGTAATATTGTGCTCAAAAGCCCACTTGTATTAAGTAATTTGTTAATTACACGGAAACTTCCCGAACGTCAAGTCGGAACAATAACTAATACAAGAACAAGAGTGAGAAAGCTATTCTAGGACTTGAGTCTCAAAATGCTAACCCGTTACAATGTAATTAATACCCCTACTTATACTAAAAAAGGGGTAGGTGTAATAACTAATACAAGAACAATAACTAATACAAGTATGGGGTGCTCCATGCTTATTGTTTGCTAATCCAGTCGCTTGAACGTCCATGCTTCCACTTGCTGACGCCATACTCTAGCATTTAATGCACTTTGCCACTTGCAGACTGCCCGTTCGGGCAGCGGAATGACGGTCCTGTCTAGTGTCCCATCAATCTGCCTCAAGTATATCATGTGAGCCGTTCCCCGTTCGCGACCCGAGTGAACTCTTATGGACCCTCGATTCCCGTTCGGGTTACATTGGACCCGTTCTCCCTAGTGGCCTTTGGGCCGGGCCCAACCGAAGTTTTTGTCACAAGTTATATCATGCTACTAGTGGAAATATCTCCGCTGATGGGATCTTAGCTTCTCTCTATATATACATACCGTGTAATTATATATTTATATATAGACAAGACAAAGACTAAGCTGGCGGAGTCAAATTAAACATTTTAATGATATAAAAATAAACACAAATCAGCAGTGTTAGTGTTTCAGTTTGTTTCTTTACTTGACTGTCCATTTCCTCTGTATTATATTTCTGTTTGGTGTATCGATCAAGAATGGTAGTGAATCATCATCTTCAGATGAGTGAAGATGAGAAGGCCAAGTACGAAGAAGCCTTCAAAATCATTGACAAAGATGGAAACGGTTAGTTAGTTTAATTAGTCCTCCATAACTCGATCTAGAGGTTTTTAATTAATCATTGACCTTTCAGACTGAAATCTCATGTCTTAACATGTATCAAAGTCAATGATCCATGGTTATGATGTAGGTCTCTGTAAAAAATGACGACGCGGTTATAAAAAATGACGTCGATGAACCAATGAAAAAACAAGATCTGCTTTAAAAACAAATCTCATTGGATCTTTTTCTAGGCCGTAAAACAAGATTCATGTATTCCATCCGTCCGCTGAGATTGTCCCAGTTACCTTTTCGGTCTGTCCCACTAAGATTGTGTCATACCAAATTTGGTAAAGTTTGTTTGAGTTTCAGCGGGTGGAGCAAACCGTCATTTCTTTTGCAAAGCAAAACGTTGCTAATTAGCAGCGGATCGGGTACAAACCGCTGATATCCAAATAACCTCTTTATCAATTCAATATCAACAACGTAAACAACTTTTTATTGGTTTACACGTCACCTCCCCTTGCCTCATAGTTAGTGGGACGGAAGGAGTATTACATGGTATTTCAAAAAGAAATTTCTCTGATTTATGCGATTTCAAATTTAGCTTGTGTAATTGTGGCATGCAGGGAAGGTAAATAGCCAAGAGCTGGAAAAAGTAATGAGCTCACTGGGACAGAGCTTAACGGAAGCAGAGGTGAAGGAGATGATCAAGCAAGTGGATAAAAACGGGAGCGGGACGGTAGAGTTAGCCGAGTACCGTGCACTCATATATAAACGGTTGAAGGATAAAGAAGCAGAAGCGGAGCTGGACGAGGCGTTCATGGTTTTCGACAAGGACGGGAGTGGCCACATCTCCGCCGACGAGATCCGGCAAGGGATGTCAAAGCTGCAGGTAGAGTTGAGTGACAGAGAGGTGGAAGAGATGATAGGGAAGGCCGATATTGATAAGAATGGGTTGATTAATTATCAAGAGTTTGTCAAGATCCTCATGTCCAAGTATCATCTTAACTCTATCCCTATTAATCATTAATCACTCAACAAGTAACATGATATAAAACCTAATAGGAGAAGTAACTCAAAATCTTAATAGGAGTATTATTTTATAACAATCCAGTGTGAGATGAATACTTCAATAGATTGCTACGACCTCCGTCGCCCTAAGATTCGGACAAAGGAGAGTGGCTGTGTTTTTAAAGAAAAGTAGCGTTTTGTGGTTGATAATGAATCGATAAAGTAAGAGTAAAGTAAAAATGAATTAGAATCACACAAATATTACCAAATTTGATACTTCTTTTGTCCCTTATAACTTTACAATCTTTCCCTTTTCAGATGTTCCAAAAACTTCACCACTTTCCCTTTTAATCAATGAATTGTGGTTTATGTTATTTCTCTCTTCTGTGCACATATCTCAACCACACAGTTTTTACTAGTGCCGGTCAAACATCACAAAGTATTGAGGGACGGAGGGAGTATGTGACAACATTAGTGGAACGAACGTAAAAGAACAATGAGATAATTATAGTGGGCCGAAGAAAGTAACATAGAATTCACCAACTAGTCCTAAATTTTGGAGCCTCTTTAATAACCTCTTCATTCTGTTTATTAGCTTTATCAACTCACACATATTTTTTAACTTCCTACGCTGACTTGTGTAATAATAAAAAATTAAAAATGAGTAAGATTTCATCCTGCACTTTTTCATTATTTCATTAATGAAATTCATTTTAAGTACTTTGTATAATATTTTCATGAAGCTTATTCAACGCTTGATCTAGAACTTCACTAATTGAAGCAGATTCGCACACTCATCAAATGGACCAAAGTGTCTAAGTAAGTACTGGTGACAAACTGTTTTTTTTAAACAAATAACTTAATTATTATTAATGAAGATGACAAGAAATATTACAATCATAAAGCTCAAGGCTACAATGGGATGAGACATAGAAACAGACGATTCTAATCGAAAACGCAGCTCCTGCTACTATCACAATAATTATCAAAAGAACTCATAAACATCTTGGTTTCTCCAGTCACCGGTAAGGAGCCAACGGTAGAACTTGTTCCGTTTTCACCAGTCACCAAAAAGAAAGCAATCCAAATGATCTCATCTTCCTGGAACGGCGGTGGTTCAAGAGGGGGGCGATCCGTCTCAATATCGGCGCAAAAGAAAATCAAGTTTTTGATTGATGAAGAGATTAGTGCAAATCTCTTCTTAGCACACAAAAACGCCCGACCACAAGTGGCGGGTAATATGGATCTGACAGACGATATTTCGCTACCGAAATAATACCTCCAAACAACGTTGAGAAAGAAACAATGAATAAAACTGAAAACACTGATTAAGAAGATGTTTTTCTACTATTAAAACCAAAGAAGATTGAAAGAAGAAAAGAAAAGAAGAGAAGGAAAGAAGAGAAAAAGAGGAGGCAACGACTATGATTTCCCCATGCTATTGCCTGTCCTCTCTTCCGTAACTCTCAATATGATACTAGCGAAGTGACAAACTATTAAAACTTAAAATTAATTTATTCCAAATTCTAATGTACAGAAGGCAAAAGAGGACGACGGAAGGCAAAAAAGACGACTACGGAAAGGGAGAGTGCACATGCGATTGTCTCCGTAGGTGTGCAATTTTGTAATTTTGTTTGCATATGTAAGTAAACATTTGGGCAACTCTATTATACTGTATTGTATAGATACACAAACATTACCTCAAGATTTAATGATGTGGGCTGGATTGGATCTTTGGTGTGTATGGATAAGGTCTGCCAGTGTCCGACTAAGTCACCGTGATTTAAAACCTTCCAAATGTCTTGTCGGATTGGGGAGCCCTTACTCCTTGGAATTGGGGATTCAACCTTTTGGAACATTTATGCTTGAATGTGTCGTATCTGAAATGAAAGTATGATGTATCATGATAACAAATAACTATGATGATAACAATAGTAACATTGTTTTTGCAAGGGAAACTTGCACACAATTGCATGGAGTCCGGATAGTAAAAAGAAAATAAACTAGAAGTAAAAGAAATTGTAGTAAAAAGGAATATGCATATAACAACATTCATGTATTTTGATATGACACTATGACAGTAGTAAGTTATGAGGAATTAAAAGATGGAGTTAATATGAGGGAAAATACTTGTATTACTTTTAAAATTAGAGAGGAGTTATAAGTGTGAGGGAGCATCACTTGTCATTCATAGATTTTTAGGAAGCTTCATAGGAAGTTTGGAAGTTGAATTCTTAAATTTGCTTTTAAGCGAATATGTCCTAGAAATTAAATTCTTTAATTCTCTTGTTCAGAACAAGCATCCTGGTTATGTCTCTGAATAGCTCTAGCTTATCTCGTGTCACCACCTTCGTCAACATATCTGATGAATTCTCATGTGTGTTGATTTTCACTAGTATCAAAAGTTATTGATCAATCGTCTCACGTATCCAGACATATATAACATCAATATGTTTTATACGGAAGTGATACGAGATGAAGTTCTTACTCAAGTTAAGAGAACTGTAACTGTCACAATGGACCTACATTGTACTTTTTCTACTAGATTTCAAGTTCTTGGAGATAGACACAACATTTCCTTACCTGTTTGAGTGACAACAATATATTCCGCTTCAGTTGTAAATAAAGTAACACACTGATACAATTTTGATTGCCAAAAAATATAATAACGCCTCTAATGTATTGTATCGACACACAAACATGACCTCAAAATTTAATGCTTTAATATGTCTCCTATCTGAAATGATAGTATCATGTATAATGATAACAAATAACCATGATAATAACAAGAGGAAATTCCCATGATATGAGTAAACACGTGTTAAAAAGGCAAAAACAGGAGTTAATATTTTAAATTCTCTAATATTAGTCTTTTTGAGATTGGATAAAAATACCATTGTAGGGGTTAGGGCAAGCCATTGAATTGTCGCCACCGCCGGTTGCCAAAACTTTGTCCCCGCCACCGATCACTGGAATTCTGTCATCACCTGATTGCCGTTGCCGCTACCGCCTACCGGACTGCCCCGGTTTTGCTAGAGGAACCAGAGGGCACTTTATTATATTAAAGATAGAATTTACTTTATTAAGAGTAGAAAAGTAATGTTTATTCTTAGAAAAGATAAAACATAGACTTCTATGTAGAAAATAGAGTCATTTTTTACTCCTATTCGGATGGTGGGAAGATAGTGCCAAAGGAGAGATGTCTCAAGTTCAATTCTAAAAGACTTGGATCGAAATCTGACTCTCCTTTCATCAATATGTTATCAAAGCTCAATTTACATCCTCTCAGATAACACTTTTGACTGATTCTGAGGGCCCTCAAGGATGAGATGTTATCATTTTTTCTAGGAAAGAAAGATTTTGAAAAAGTAAATAATAAAGTAAATAACTCGGCTAGTGTGAATATAATTAGGTGGAGTAATTGAAGAGTCATAGGGGTGTTTGAGATATGGCGTTTCAGCCAAAAAATTACAGTTTGACCCCTTTTAGCATTTTCAAAAGGTTAAACTTTGTTTGGTAAATAGTTGGTTGACACTAGTGTTTTTCGACGGAAACGCTGAATGAAAACGCTGCAAATAAGAGGATTTCGGATTATCGTTTTGAAATATGTTGTTTTCTACTAATTTGAAAACTTGTCAACTTATCCCTCTAGTCAAACCCGCTGACTCAACCTGCTATTGATGATCCGCTAACATAATTCGTCATCTACTAACCGCTAAATGCCAAACACGCTCATAGTGTTGATATGGGTACATTATTTTTTAAAATAAATATGACGAAGTTATCATTTAACACCCTTAATATTGTTCAAGATGTGACACAGCGAGTATGATTCCTCAAGTTATAAAAAGAATCTTTAGACTAAAAAAAAACTAAGGGTATGTTTGACACAACTAGTTTAAAAGATACTTTTATGAGTTTTTTAATAACTGTTAGCTTTTACTGGCTGAAAAGATCTTAAAAAGAAAAGTTGGTAGCTGTTTGGTAAAAAGTTGATTGTTTGATTTAGTTCGATTTGGTATACAAGCTGTTAGGATTAATTAATACTAAAAGTCACGGGCTTTTCCCAGATGCTACTCCCTGTAGCATCTCAACAAAGACCTTTTAATTTTTGAAAAGCTCTTAAAAATTGTCATGTCAAACATACAACTACAAGCTTTTAGAGACTTTTTGAACAATACAAAAGCTAGAAGGCAGAGACTTATGTCTGCCGAACATAGCCTAAGAGTCATAGTTTGGAAGAACGGTTGTATTAATTTTAGCAACGAAATTAGACTATGTACGGTACTTCCTCCAAATTCAATTCAACCGAGTGGAAATTAAAGGAATTCGACACTTAGACAGCAAGGAATGCTCGAAGACAAGAAAAGCATCACATTAGTTCAAATAAAAATTCAAAAAAAAAAAGCAATCGAATAAGTGATATTAGATCTTATATTCAAGGACAAAAAACTTGGTGGTATTTTAGAAAAGAGAAAAAATTTAGAGCACATCATAATATGTAGAGAAATTACGTCAAATAGGACTAAAATCGTTTGTATATTCCAAAATAGGACTATCATATTTTCTCTATTTTTATAGAATTTTATCAATTTGGAACCTGAAAGATAGACGAATTATCAATTCGGAACCTGAAAGATGAAATGTATCAGACTCGAAAGATGAAAGACTATCAATCTAGGACCTAACATTTCATAGATTTTGATTTATTTAATTTTTTACTAATTCCATTGCTAATATTTGGTGAAGTTTTCTTCATAAAAGTTTATTAGTTTAATAAAACTAAATATTATTTAAATTTTTTAAAATGAAAATAATAATAATTTTTTTGAAAACTTAGGTCCTAAATGAATAGTTTTCAATCATTCGGATCCTAGATTGATAGTTTTCCATCATTCGGGTCCTATACCGATACATTTAATCTTTCAGATCCCGAATTGATAATTCGTCTATTTTTTAGGTCCTTAATTGATCAAATTCCTATTTTTATTTCCAAAATAGGACTAATTACTGTCATGTTTTGGCAGTACCAGACTTTAAACATGGAAGTATTTTCCAAACTTGACACTAATTACTCCTATTTGTGGAATTAAAACATGACAGTCTTATTTTGGAATTTTCAAACTTTTTTACTCCTATTTCGGGAATTTTCTATACGTAACTATATACTTTGCTTCCCACATCCGACGAAAATTCCTAATTATAAATCAACACAAATTGGAAGTTTCTCCTAGCTTCTTTTAGTGCAGAATTAATCTTCCCTCCACGAGAAGAATGGTGACAAAATATAACCACGCCAAACAGATAGAAGAGCTGGGAAAAGAAACCTTAGCCTCATTTGATAAAGATGAAAATGGTAAGTGAGCTAAGCTGGTTTTATGTTTTATGTTAAACAATAACTGAACGCCTATTTCTTCTACTTATCCAAAATATCATACAAAGAATATTTTCAGAAAAAATTTACACAAAACTTTTTACACTAAAAATATAGTTTTTTTTTTTTAAATTTGGGGTGAGTCAGGGTCAAGGTTGGCCACCCCTTAGCTAAGCCCCTGACCGGAAAACCCCATTTCATTTCCGAATGGGTTTTTCATATAATAATATCTATAATCAAGAGCAGATACAAATAAGTTTAACACTAACTTTGGTATGTAGGAGAGATAAGTATCCAAGAGCTTGACAATGTAATGAAATCATTGGGACGAAGCTTAAGTGAAGCAGACCTAGAACAAATGATCAAACAACTCGATGAAGATGATAGTGGGACGATAAACTATGAAGAGTTCCAAACGCTAATATCGAAGTGGTTAGAAAAGATAAAAGTCGAATGTATTGATGATGCATTCAAGACTCTTGATACAAACGGGGATGGGCACATTTCTGCAGACGAACTCCGCAGCGGGATGCAAAAACTTAAATTCAAGCTAACTGACAAAGAGTTGAATGAGATGATAGAAGAGGCTAATACTGATGAGAATAGAGGGATTAATAATGAAGCGTTTGTCGATGTCCTGATTTGCAAGTAAGACGATCACTACTAATCTCTAAGACCAATTCGGCCCTTTTACTACATCAAAAACGTCAATTAAGTCCTCGTACTATAAAGATTAAAGGGTCAAATAGATACATGAAATAACTTAAAGCGTTCAATTAACCCCTTATTTATGAGATTCTGTCCGGCCGTCGCCAATTAGGGCGGTTCCCGATGGAATTTTTTGATGAATTTTTTTGAGCATCTTTTTCATTAAGTCTGGTTTACGCATATCAAATTTCAGTTAATCATTAAATCGGGAAGGCAGTCAAATGATTTTCCGAAATGTACCGCGCTGTTTAACTGCACAGTTATCTTCAAAAACTCATTTGACTACCTTCCCGGTTGAATTTTTAGCTGAAATTTGATATGGGTAAACTAGACTTAATGAAGAAGATGTTCAAAAAATTTCATCAAAAAATTACACCGAGCACTGCCCCAATTGGCGACAGAAGAGCAGAACCTCTTATATAAGGAGGCTAATTGAACGCTTTAAATTAGTTCATGCACCTATTTGACCCTTTAGCCTCATATAAAAACACCAAATTGAACCCTCA